CGCCCCCCCCCCCGGGCGCCGAGCGTAATCTCCTGCCGCACCCAGAGCCTCTCGGACCAGGGCCTGTGGAAGAAGGCCTCCAGGGCCTGCGACTCCGGCCCGTCCCAGGGCAGGGCTGGTGCTCGTCGAGCAGGAGCCCAAAGTACGCGCCGGCCGCGCCGCTCTCCCTGGGCCGCAGCGCGAGCGACGCAAAGTCGACGTCGACCGAGTCGGCGATGCGGCGCAGCAGGTTCACGGCCACGTTGCTGTCCGGGGCGGACGGGCCGGCCCACGCGAGGACTCGCTCCGCCGAGGCGTATATCTCGGCCATGAGCGAGACTTGGCGCGCGCGCTCGTCCAGGTCCTGCTGGTTGATGCACACGGCGTCGATCCAGAGGACCGCGTGGCTGTCGGCGTAGGGGAGGTGGCCGAGGGCTTCTGCTAGGCCGGCGGACTGGACGACTGCGACGTCTCGCCTGTCGTTTTGCGTCTCCCCAGACGTACGACAGAGCCATGAAGGACGGCAGCAGCCGCTGTCGGGCGTCCAGCGGCGTGTTGTACATGGTGACGCGGATGTCATCCGGACTGGGGGACGCGCGCGGATGAAGCACTGCCAGCCGAATGTGTTTGCCTTCTGGCGGCAGCGGCTCATACCGGTATTCGTCCATGGTGTATGTAAGTTGGGGGTGCGCGAGGAGGACTTGGCGACGGGGCTTTCTTTCACTGCATGGCTGGAGCTGAACCCTGGCGTCGAGTATCGTGCCTGTGTGCATATTATTACTTTGCGATTTAGAGATTTGATACGGTGTGCCCTATTTGAGCACTCTGCTTGAGACTGCCATCTCAGCCCTTGGCGTGGCTGCTACGTTGTAGAAGTTGATTTGTGGTGTGCGTCTTCAATGTTGGGCCGAGCCTGGGCGCGTCGAGTCTGACATCTGCAGATACTCTGGACCGGCAAACCAACAGACTGCACCGCGTGCGCTCACAGCATCATAGAAGAAGCGACCACAATGCCCAAACAAACCGGGTTCGGCGTCGCAGCGAATTGCATTATTGCACCAGACCCGTCTCCCAACTCCCATCGCCACCCGTCCCCTGTGTGCCCGCGTGCCAAACATGCCAATGCCCACATCTCCTTGCCTTGCTCCGTAAATACTCCGCGCAAATACATTACATATATGCGGCGGGTGGGTTCGACGGAAATGTCCGTCAATTCAAAATTCTGGCTCTTATTGCAGTTATCTGCACCTAGGAAAAAAAAAACGCTCAAAGAGGGCCCGTTTTCAAACCCCGCCGAGCCCGCCCCAATGCCGGCAGGCGCATGCCCTTTTTTCTCGAACCCACTTGCCATCTCTGCTGGTGAATATTTTCAAAAATTCCCATCACGCACCCCCTCGGGAAACACCCCGTTCTCCATCTACGGAGCACGCACAGATGTACATACATTTGCATGCACACACGTACAATTTACATACCTAGGTAGGTAGGTACATACAAACAATATGTATGTATGTATGTGCCAGCACACAACCGACCTGCAAAAAAAAATTAAAATTCGCCACCCGCGGACCCCTACAGAAACCTCTCTTTCACAATCACAGGGCAGATGCTAGCTACCCTTGCCTCCGACTCCGGCGCGACACCCATGCATAGATAGAAGCACGTCTTTAAGCCCAGTGGTTGAAGCGCACACAGCGCAGCTACACCGTCAGTATATTTCCCACAATGACAAAATGTGTTTTTCAAACACAAAAAGGCTTTTATATACAGACGGCAACGTATGTACAGCGTCCATTTAAAAAGCCCCCCGCTCGATTTGATGGGCAAATTTACCCCATAAGAGTCAGGTCCTGGACCCAAAATTAAAAAAAGGCCCCAAGTCGGACCGAACCCCCACTGAGCAGGCGACAAGAGTCATTTCCGTCCTCCCCAGGTGCCTGTGTACAAACATGCACACGCGGTGCTCCGTATACCCTAGGTATCTAGATACATGCATCCATGCATCCAAAGCACAGCCTCCCCTCGTGTGCCATCTCTTCATTGTTCGGCTCTGCAAGCCCATTATCTATCCCCTCTGGTGTGCCAAGGCTCACCTAGGTATCTACGGGGATGATACGCTAATTCAAGCCGTAAAATAAAAGGTACTTGTTTCACACTCAAGCTCTACTATAATAAAGGTCACTATAAGCATACAAGTCACAAAAAGCTACAATATTTAGCTAAATTTAAGCCACTCCTAATGTTGCTCGAGGTCACCAACTGTAGCAGGGTTATGGGTCTAGGCAAAGCCTTAGTTAGTTTGTACGGAGTACGGAGTACCCTGGCAGCAAACCTACCTGGCGTCGGGCTACTCCGAGACTGGCAAGGCCGCCAAAGGGCCAAAAGGATGCCCCGTTGTATCGAGTAACATACGTACCCAGACGTCTAATCAGTGCGGGTTTCCTTTCCGGCCACTATCGCGCCCAAGCCATTGGCCTCTTGACGGGGTTCCAATGCGCCCTGCTCCCCCATTCAATGTTGCTGGCGAGCGCAGAAACCAATGAATTTTGCCCACGAGTTTTCTAATTGACAAGGCACTCACTCCCTCCCTCTCCGTCGCAGCAGACGAGGAGGGGGAAAAAAGCTTATTCTCTGCTCGTGACAACTTGCCCTCTGGTCCCCTCTAGTCTCTTGTCCAATCAAAACATTCTGCCTTTTGCCTTCTCCACACAAGAGCATTTCGCGTCTTCAGTCCCCTTTCATCTTCACACCGGCAGACTACCGAGCTTGGCTTAGCCCGAGGGACCACTTGCCACCACTTGACCCCTCCTCACCTCGTCCTCACCCTCACCTCACCGCTACCTCCGCCTTATGTCCATCGAGTGAGGCCATGCCGATATCTAAACACCATCAAATCGCCGACAGCGCACTTCCCATTAGCCATCACGCCTTCATCGCCTCTTCCGTACATTCCACAAATTCACACGAGTAAGCTCCTGGCGCACATGGAAAAGTAAATCTTGGTTTCATAGCTTATTCAATTCATGCTTTTACGGCTCTCTCCTGGCCGCCACACGCCACTCCGAGCTGCTTATTCTAATTGTCCCTGAACAGCCAATGCTCGCCTCGTTGGGCAGTGCAGCCGACCCTCCCTATTGCTTCCGCATCGCGCGATGCCGCCTTTTCCTAGTCTAGCTCATCTGCTGCCTTTTGTCTCTTCCCGCCTTTTTTTTTTTTGGGGGGGGGGGAATTCTTCCTCCTGCTTTTTGCCTCCTTCTCCTGGCCATCACCAAGCAAGGACCATCACAACCCCCGCTCAGTGCTCAAGGTTGCCCTTGCAGAACGTCCCATCTCAATAGTCTCACCCCCTAGTTTCCGTGATAGAGTTACAAAGCCTTGAGCCAATAGAATAAACATGAATGCATGTGTTCCCGATGGAGTCAAGCCCAGACCATGGTATCATTTGGGTTCAAAAGAAAAAAAAAGAAAACATATGCAAACGCCTCGTAAAGTGCAACTTGTTTTTGATGTGAAAAGAGAAAGAATATTAAGGTTCTAGCGCAATACACGCGGACCACGCATCAATGCATGCATCTCCATGAGTACGCTACATTGCTGTGCTGTCGTTGGTAATGCATGTAACGCTAATAAAACTAGTCGTGCAATGTCGCCGGGTCAAACCCAAGTATCGTCATGAAAAGTCGAAAATGTGGTGTGTAATTAGGAAGATCAGTGTCGTTGAGAGGGAAAAAAATCTTTACACGCCGTTCAGATATACACGGCAAGGAAATCGAAAAGCCTTGCCAGACAAGCTCCTCATGCCAACCAAATTTGTACATGCTCACCAAGCAAGGACGAGGAGGACGACTGTGATATTTACCAGCCCTTTGAGTGGTATCCGTTGAGAGCTTCCTTAGAGAAGTGTTGGTTCCAGCTGTGGGCTTCGACATCTTCGCTGGCCTTGATACATGCTTTCTGGGGATACTGTTTCAGGTTGGCAACGTCCTGTGATGTGTGGCGGCGCTTAAGCATTGCCTTGCTGCCCAATTTTTTCTGCTGTCGCTCCCAAACAAGGTTGAGTCGGAGTGACTCGGTAAGTTCAGTAGCCAGCATGTTGCGGCGGGTGGTCCGGGGAGAAAAGGCCGCAGGGAAGTTGACGTGAGTAGCATGGGTCGTGATGGGCTGAGCGCTGGACCGGGGGATTTCGCTAATAGGCTTGAGTGGAGAGTGTCGCATACCCTTCATCATTAGTGGCGCTTCATCCGAGTCATTAGGAGAGACGCCCAGACTCGGTCCATTGGGCGCCGCTCGGGTTCGGTGGATGGCAGGAGTGGACTGCGAAGCTTGATTGCCGAGTGTTCTGGCGCGCTCGTTCTGAGCAAGCATGAGCGTGATGAGCGATGGGCGGGAGGCGAGGTTGGCCTTGGACTCGACGCGCTGGAAGAACTTGTCGTCAACACTGGATTTGCCGCTGTCTTCCGTGGAGTCTTCCCAGTCAGAAGAGTCGTCGTCGTCAATGGCACTCTCGTCAACATATTCGGCTTCGGTGTCAGAGTCAACGGCAGACTCGCTCTGTTGCAGAGCCTGGGCCGTTAAGTTGCTGATGCGAGTGTTGGGAAGGGCGGAGTGGCCAGAGCTCTTGAGGGAATCTTCTCCCGACGACCCGCCGATTTGGAACATGGGCTTCTTGCCGACGGCAGCGGAAGTGGCCTTGATGTTCTCGATGCTCTGGCTGTGCTCGCTTGAGGAGCAAGATCCACCAAGGGCGAAGCGAGCAGGCTGCTTCTTAGGCTGCACATGCTTGGGTGCTGGTGAAGAGCTGGGTTCGGGCAAAACATCTTGCGACGAAGCAGCAGCAGCAGGTTCCGGGAAAGCGAGTGCTTGGACTCTGAGGCCGTCGGAAGGTGGCAAAGGGGAAGCATGTGAGTCTTCAGAAATTTGCTCCGACGATTGTGACTCGGTCGTAGTAGATCCGGACCGGGTGAGGGTGGGAGGAGCAGGAGGAGCTAGAAGCTTCTGCTTCGTGGACGCCATCAAGGGAGATGTTTGTGAAGGGGCGGACAGGGGAGCCTTGTCCTTAACAATGGACACAATCATCTTCTCAAAGTCGTCCGAGCTGATGCGTCGATCACGCCTGGTGGTGGAGGAATCTAGTCTTCGTATCCTAGGTCGGATCTCAACAGGTGCTGATACAGAGGTGAAATCAACCGTCTCGTCGTCGGCCATAGACTCGACGCTGCCAGAGAGCTGAGGGACCTCTTGTAACCTCGTCTCTGACAGGACGTTCTTGGGAGGGGTGGTGGCGGTTGTAGAAGCCGTGGAGGAGGCGGTGTTCTTATTCGCGTTCTCGACGAGCTGTTCTCTCTGCCAGAGGCGCCAGCTCAAGTTTTCTAACCTTCTACCCTGTTCTACAGAGTCTGCGCAACGGGAAAAGACTGTTGCACCGGTTGGTCAGCATCGTGGTGGGCGCGGTTCGGTTGTGGCGAAAGAGGACCTACCTGTCCACATGCTATAGAGATTGGCGGGATTGGCAGTGTCCACCTTGTGGATGACGTTGGCGTCTACTGTTAAGACGTGGGTGTCTAACCGATAAGCCATATCTGCCATTTGTGATGCTCGATCGTGGACGAGTAGAGATGGATCCAAGAGTGCTGTTTAGAGGAGGGTGGTTGCTAAATGGCCCAAGGAAGCATGCCTCGTCGCTTTGAAGAGGGGCGACTACCTGGCAGCTTTATATAAGCGTTGTAGGGGTTCGCTGTGCAGGAAGCAGGTGGGAGTGAAGAATCGAGGTAAATGTGTGTCGGGTTGTTCAGATGTGATTCTGGCGCCAATTCGCGTAATTGCGGATGTGAACAAGTTGGTCTTCAACTGGAAGCCAGGGTGTTGTGTGTACGACGCTTTGGTGGTGATGTGTGCGTTGCGGGATGGTGCGGGCAGTGGTAGCTGGCAGGCTAAGGGCTCACAATGGGCGAAGAGGATTGCGAGTTGCAAGTGAGACGGTGCTTGTCTGGAGAACAGATGTTGTTTGGTCGGCAGCGGTTGGGCACAGCATACAATGCGGAGGTGAAGATG